ATATATATATATATATATGGATATTCTCGCAGCGACGAGGGTATATCTCCTGTCGAATCAGTATGCGTGAGAGTGATGTATCACTCATTGCAGAAAAGTAGTCATTGTGGTATGCTCTGAGAATCGATAGCAATGCCACAAGGACTAAAGAAAGCGCCAGCGATTTTCAGCAGAATGGTCACTGATGTACTTCGTCCATTAAGGAACTTTACATCGAGCTACTTTGACAACATGTTCGTTCATAGTAACACTTTGAGGAAGCAGAAGAATTCTGGAGTTCACTTGAGGCATCCTTATCCACTCCCTGTCTTCACTAATCTTATTAAAATCTTTACGTTTGCAAAAACAAAACTTTACATTACTCCTGGCCGCAAAAGATAGTCATTTCGGGCGCCTGACTTCCCTTCCTTCAGTGGTCTTCATAATCTTGTCGTCAGAGTGTGAGGAATTATCTCACGCCTGACTCTTAGAAACCAAATGAGAGAAACACCAGAACGAAAATGAGTTTATCCCATATTCGCACACAAATGGTGAGAAGGCAAGGTTTAACCTGCCCGAATCAATGAAGAGATGATCGTTCGCTTAGCGGATGGATAAGAGTGGCGATGCCTAAGTGCGTGCTGCGTATGACAGTCGAACGAGAAATAACAAAGTGAAGGTGAGTTCATCGCACTCGTCATTGATGACAAGTTCGATGTGATTCTAAGATTGCCTTGGATGGAAAGATATCGGCCTAGCATCGACTGAAAGGAGGGGAAGGTCATCGTCGGCAAGCAAGTCGACAAACACCTCGGTTGTGTGGTAGCAAGAAAGGTAATTTGGACGTATACATCTGTTGAAAATGAATACGCAGCACTCGCTAACAATCATCTCTATATTGAAGTAGGTAGGTTAAATCCTTGCAGTCTCACCACTTGTGTGCGGACAAAGATTGTTCGATTCATCAGTATCTACAAGAGCTCGTAAGGGCTCTGGGTAAAGGTCTTCCCTAATCATATGATTTCTCAAGTCTGGCTCTTGCTCTATACACTCACATCTGTTCATGGAATCTGCATGTGCATTGATCACATCGGGGATAGAGTTCTGCGCTATCACGACTATCACAAAGCTCTTCACTCGCTCAATAGGGAGACCCACCCCTGATAGTCATTCCCGTTTTTTCTGTTGCGAACGCTCGATTTGCCGACCATTAAGTGTTCGATTCGATTGCAGGTCATGCGCGGCTTGCTAGCTTGGCATGGATTCCTTAATTCCTCGCAATGTTACTGGGTTTACCGCAAAGCAAACACTTTTCCTCCTTGCGTGGCTGTTTGTTGGCAGTCGCAATGCAATGAGAAATGTTTCGATCCATTGTACGATGTCGCTTGTTCGTTTGTTCGACAAGAGACAGAGCCGCTAAAGTTGGCTTGCTTGATGCTAACTTCTTCTTCCGTCACACACTCCGTAACTTCGTCCAACGTATTCGGATATTTGTGGAGTAGCTGATTCCAAGTTAGACTATCATTGAACTCTGCCATGAATGCCATAACTTGCGTTGAGAACTTAATTGGCTAGTTGATAACATTTGAAACGAAGTATTACGCTCGTTGTGCTCACAACTATAGGCCTAATTTTCCTTGACGAAGCTTTGAAATCTCAGCGGCTCGAAAGCCTTCTTCACCTCTTGCTTGAAGTCGACCAGGTCAAAAAAGCGACTTGGTACAGCCAAACGTTTTGAAGCACTCGATACTTTTCTCGACCCGCAAGTATGGACATCGATAATTACACTTGCTGCCATGGGTCCACGAGCTGTTTCACGATAATCGCTGCATACGTTTCTATGAACCATTTGGCCAGTTTTTGTCACCTTACAGAGATATGTCAAGATTTAGGGGGTATTCTTGCTATCGCGACAGAAGCTGGTGCTGTCGGCAAAGACTGATGAACTCGTAGTGCATGAAGCTCGCAGTTGCATTCCTGCGTTCACCCGGTGACGCCGACTTTGGCCAGCTGTAAATAGCCGCGTCACCACTGTCTTCAAAGATACGCTCCATGCCTGCCCACTTGCGACGCGTCAGATGAGAGAAATATCCCCATTCTTCAATTCCACAGTCTCTTCAGGCATCGGACCCATCAATATTTCCATCCTTTCCATTGTTTCTCACAATCGGACAAGGGGTCTTGGAATGCCAGCGCACGCTACACAGGCGACCTATATAGACTCTTGATCTGGCCATTGGAATGACTACAAAGTGCTACCAGGCGTAAGAGGCTATTCGAGACAGCCCCTGACATGGTACGCATGTTTGTGCTTGAGATGAAGGAATGCGGTAAAATTGCAATTGAATTGAAAATAGATTATAATTAGTAAAGCTAAATGGATAACACCAGTAGTGCTCCTAGAGATTATAGGTACAAAGCCCGCACATGGAAAAGTAAAATCTTGGATACACTGAGGTTAAACCATGTGAAACTTGAAAATTTGAGCAGGAAGTCTGCGCGGAAAGTTCCTCGCAAAGTTACTGAATCGCGCCTTACACTTTAGATGGAGCACATCGGTCTCATCACCAATGTAGATTTTCGAGTAGTACGTTTTTGACCTATATTTTGTACTGATGAGTACATGTGAACACTACTCTGCACTGATTTGTACAGTCGTACTGCAATTTTTCCCCACAATGCACGTCAGAGATGATATGTGTACTAAAGAAATTTAGCTTCATGTAATGGATAGCTAGCTGTCTGATTGATTGTTTTCGAAACAACTATACACGGTTAGTTAGTCTAGGTCTATCCTTTTCCTCGCAGAGATGAGGATCTGGTGGCTCAAGGGCTGAATGATGTACTAAATCACTCGAAGTTGTTTAGCAGTCACAAAGAATGCGATATTTCAACACCTCCAAAGACGATTCAACTAGAGTTCAACAAATGCACGACTGGCTCCCACCGTAACGCTCAAGATATTAATACTTCAAATCTTTGCGGGGAAATCCTCCGCTGCGAGTGGAAAAGGCTATGACAGCCATGAGATCGTCCATGCTTCAAATGGGGCAAAAGCTCGTCCGCCTGAAATCACCACGATGTAAGGCCGCGTGCAAGAATGAGTACTTATTTCCAGCACATTCGCAGAGGGCATATTTTCTATGTGCAACGAGTTATATGTCGCAAGTGTTCGCACCGCATAAGCAAGAGTACCGCATTCATTCGAAGTATTTGCTCACCCGTCAAGAAAGGCGGATATTTGCGGACTATGTCCAGCTGACGTAAGCTCTGATTGCCACGACGGAGACACTTCCTCGTCCGGAGGCGGTAACAGTCAAATTTGGGTGTCCGAAAAGGCGCGGCTCAAACGAAATCCCAGTACCCACCCTGCTTGAAGATATGTATCTGCGACGATTTATCCTTGCCCGGTGTTGTCTTCTTGCTCCGAGTTATATAACTAGTGAAGCGCCCGCGTAGGGTCGTACATCAAATTTCTCGTGGGTGAATGTCAAGTCTCAGTAGGTGCAAGTCAGTCTGCTGGAGAAAAGCAAAGCTCATTTGTATCTCGTGAGGTCTAGCACTACTATTATTAGTTCTAAAATGACCAAATCTTCTTTAAAAAAAGGCTTGCAGCTTCAAAAAGGTCATTTGTAACATTAACGTCGCAGGGTTTGTGAAGCCGTCGCTAAATTGATAGATAAAAAGACGTCGTTGGCTACGATCAGCGCACGCCGGTCGAAAACGGTAAGCGTGTACACATACGTGTTGAAGATGCCAAGTACGGATCAAATATTTTGTGCGACTTGTGGCGGATATATATGTGACAGTGTCGAAAATGTTACGTATCACATACTGAAGCACCTATGATCGGAAGTGAAGGTTGAGGCACGAGTATGAATCTACGATAGCTTCACTACAGAACAAGATCTCGTCTAACAACGACATTTCTAAAGGCTTTGAGCTTAACTTAAGGGCAAAACAAACTGCCGTGATCTCTAAATGAAAACGACAATGGCGACCGTATTGGCAGAAAGCCACGGTCTAACGATGAAAGAGATAAAAGCGACTGTATATCGCAACGTCCAGAATGTATCTTATTTAGACGCTTTGGGTGCAAATCAAGCTGTCTTGCCTTGAGATAAGAATGACAATGGCGACCGTAACGGCAGAAAGCCGCGGTCGCACAACAAAATAGTCAATAGCGACCATATTCGCAAAACCAGAGTGTATATTATGGTGTCAGTAAAGAGTGACAGACCGATACACCTCCAGGAGTGTGCTCCTAATGAGATAATTTATTTGCAGCAGCAAGTTGGAGTCTTTTTTGTGCCAGAGCCAGTGTCAACCTTATAGGAAAAGCCAGATGTGCAGATATTGAAGAAGATAAGTCTTGTCACAATGTGACAAAGCCGTGGTATTAGCAATACTATGTAACTTGCCAGTTCGCGGAGCAGTCAAGCTGCACGGCTTAGTGACAATAAGAGTGACTCATTCGTGTGCGCAGTGATCAGAAAGGTCAAAAGGGGTAGCCAGCTCGTTAGCCATTACCTCCGGCATCAGCATTCGTCGAGCCTGACGAGTTTTTTTTATGAAAGGTGTTAGTGCTGCAGAACACTAGACGTTCAGCATGGTAGGTTGGCACCTGAGATAGACGAGCTCGTATTGAGAACATTTACAGGTCGTTGAGTGCGAAGAGCTATACATCCATCTACAAAAAGCATTAGCTATTTACTTCGTGGTGAAAAACGATCTTTTCATGTTGACAAGAGACCAATTACGCTCGTTGCCCCCGGACCGGGAAGTGTATATGAATTGACTTGATTTCATAGCCAGATACTGCGTCAAACGATATTGGCCCTTGCCGAGGGAAAACTGTGTCGTCATAGCTGTAATATTATGCAAAGACCGGAGCAGATTTACTAACAGAGAGTAAATTTTTAGATTTTGCGTCGACTTATGGTGTCAGAAAGACAAACGACAAGTAGCAAGTTGTATATGCATATAAAAAGCCAAATGCAGCCACTACTCCGGTGCAAAAGTCGATTCATAACTGTGCAACAGCATGGTCGGTTGCACCATATATTTTTGCTTGACGTAGTTGACTGCCTACGGGTATGTGACAGTGATAGCCCTCCAACTGCAGCAACTATTTCAAGCGAAATGATCTGGGATAGTCACATTATGCCCAGGGACCATTTCGCGCAACAGCAGATGTTTATCGCTTGAGACCCAGTCGTAGATCACATCGCGACCACGTGCAACCTTTTTTTGACGAATTACTCGTCCATATTTGTGCACAGCACGGGATGTCGGATGTGAGACTGTAGTAATCACTTGCAAGCAGTACTCAAGAGTATGAGCGTTAACAAGCTGCTCGTCAATATAAAAAGTGTTTAATTCTTGCCATCGAATACCATTTTTGTTCGAGATTCTTCATAGAGAAGTTTGGGACCCCGAAAAAACAAAGGTTATCACAGATCCGCAAGGCCTCTGTTCCATCGGAACTCAAGGAAGTGACTAGGTCAATTCATCTACTTACTGCTTATTGTGCTAATATGACAAGGCCTCTCACTATTTCCCTTAGACACTGTATCAGATGGAGCTGGGGCAAGTCGCCATTAAAGCTATAAATACTCTCAAGCGTACTCCAGTTTAGATTCTCTCATTTCGAGATCGGCTCACTTCTGTCGTCTGTACGGCTTCAACTGTTGCCATAAATTGTGATTTACTCCCAGCAGCTGCCGGTGATCATGAACGTGAGATCGCGTTCGAGTCCCAGCAGCCCAAAATAGCTGAAATTGACCACCTAGCCCAAACCAAGGAGCAACATTTTATAAGGTGCACCTTGTTAAAATCATTAGATCATGCTTGGCTATCAGTCATTGCTATTCATGTATTAATCATGCATCACTCCCCATGTTGACGTTTTGATCACGCCTCTAGCATAAAACGGTAAGATTTTTATCTTTCTCTGCAGAATATACTTTCCAAACGAGGTATAGCTGGGTCGACTTAATGTGGTGGCGAGAGCGCTTTCGCGTCACCTGACAATGAAATGTCGCGAATTACGATGATGATGTCGCAAACCAATGAAGCTAAACGTAAAATGTGCGGGTCAAACGCGACGTGTATTGTGCTTGTTGCTGAAAGCAATGTGAAGCAAAAAAGTTAAGAAAGAACGTTTAGCAATTAAATCCCGATTAATCAAGACGTGAGATTCATGTCGGCACCGCTATGCTCGTCCCAAGGCTCGCTGTATCACAGCAATGACATAGCGTATCGTGGGGACTCACGTTAAGGACCTTAAATCCAGAGTACTGTATGACCCCTTTGAGTGGCCACCATGAAATAGGATTTATAGAATGCTCAGTACGCGCTATGCCAGCACAACTAATTCTGTGTGCTCATGTGCGTGCATATATGCCGTGTAAGTGGTTACAACATCGCCGTATGCAGCTGCGCTAATGGCCAAACTGCCGGCTCTAGTAGACTGTTGGCACTGCATGGGTATAGACTTCATTTTTGGTATCTTAAAAGACGCATCCGGTGATACCAGCATTATGGTCTTTATGGATGCTTGAGCAAATTGGTTAATTTTTATGCTGTCAGCAATACCGTAACGGGTAAGGCGACAGCAAAGCGCTTCCTTAACGAAAGTTTGAACCAGCACGACTCGTCAGTGGCCAGAGTGTCGAATGAAGTACCTTGCTTTACAGCTAGCTTTCAGAAAACGCTGTTCCATGTGATGGGTACCAAATAGGACATGATTATACATAGACAGATGATCTGACGGAACGGTATGTCTGCGTGGTGGAAGAATCCTTTTCCGCTGAGAGGGCGTGGTATTGAGAAAAAAATTTCACTCACCAAATTTGTGCTATTTCACACTGTACATGCCTCTACAATTTATCCTGTTTGTTACACCATATTTATTTGACACGGCTCTGGCCCTGGCTCTGGTTTTCGCGGAAAGGGACTGACCATACATTTTATTTGCTGATACCGTTCTGCTCACAATGTGTAGCAGAGTCAAGAATATTATCTCGACGCACATAGCACTTCATCAACACGACGGTTTGTCCACGCAAGAGAATATCCCAACCACGCAGACGTACCGTAGTGTCAGACCATCTGTTCATGTATGATCATGTTTGATTTGGTGTCCAGCACATTTCCCTAGGACCTCACTGTAATGCAGGTATCTTGATCCGACGCTTTGGCCACTGGCAAGCAGTAGACATTCCACAACAACCACATTGTCGGTGTTATTGAAAGCGTCGTTTTAAAACCTGGCAGTCAAGTCTATACTAATACAATACCAACATTCTGCTAAAATTGGCTGACTGGCCAAAGGCGTCGACGCATGTAGCGAAAGTTTGACCTGTTGGAACGGTCTGCAAATGCGCACATGGACCACCGGTACATAGCCTGCACAAAGAAAGTGCCTTTTCTCGTCTGAGGTGGTTTATTCGAGCGCCTCGTACATTATTTTGTACTTCCGGTATACATCACTCGGTACCTTTACATGTCCAGCGTCGAGTTGCTTATCGATGTAATGTTTGGAACGAGGAAAAGCGACGCATGCAGCGGGGCTGCCGTAACTCTTTGCGTAGAGGAAGCTTACTAAGGTGGCCGACCTTATGTTCTATACTAGAACCAGTATGAGTGTATCGGATCGCAATCCGCTACCTCCAAGAGTATTCAAAGCCTTAATCAAGGCAAATGTGCTCTTCTGCTCAAAATTTCAACTAAATTCATCTTTTTTATTTGCGGCAAAGCCGCCTATATCTAAATCTCTAGGTCTTCCTGCTTAAAAATAGAAAAAATGTATATTATTAATGTCCTACTTAATAGTAAAAACTTATTAATATGCATTAAAAACTGGCAGTCATGCCACGTACTGGATTCTCGTTACAATGTAGCCACACCTTTGTATGGTCAAAACATCCTGTGTGACCCACCTCTTCATATCAGGGTATGTGTAACCCCGTTACAGCACAGGTGTGAGATCGCATGTTTTGCCTGAGAGGCATTCGAGTCCGAGACTACCTTTCCCTCAGAGGTTTCAACAGCGCAACAGACGAGCATCTGATGTATCGCATCATCAATGGGCAACTTCGCCGTCGTGACATGCGACATCTGATAGTGAGGACGGTGCAAAAGGTACTTACTATCTCATTTAGTCAATCCGGCTTATGACTTACCTTGAAGGTTTATTTGGCAAAAAGTATTCCTTTTTGCCATTCTCTATCGCTAGGAGCTGGCGATACGCAATTGCGACGACACTTTCATGCTCGTCGGTATATGCCAAGGGTAAAGCACGATCTATGGTAATGATTGAATTTACACAGACGAAATGAAATGGTTGGTCCGGATTTGAAAGAGCTTACGTAAGTAGATGTGTTTTCGGGGTCCACTCAATCTTTTTCTAGGATCTCAACGAGAAACATTATTTGCGGAGAGATCCTGCAAAGACGAAGAATATCGTGGATTTACAAGTGCCTCTGTTCGAAAGTAATATAAAAATAATCTTAAAAATTACATGCTTATTTAAACACTACTCCGTATGAGTTTAAGGTGAGTGACTTCAATTCACTCCACGTGTTCTGCACTTTACAGACAGACGTACAGTATTATTCATAGACTTGTGCATCGACATGGCGCAGTCTTAACAGCTGTGTCACCAGACGGTTATACGTCACTAGTCGGGTAAATAGTTCCTTCGACCCGCTCACAGTACTTACTGTAACAAGAAGAATATGTTGCCTTTCATAAGCCTGGTGGTATTCACAGAATCTTTGCTATGGCCCCGTCACGAAACGCTAGGATACAGTTTCCGTACTTGGCATCTTTAGTGCCTCTATAAGCCGTTTACGACATCAACAGTCGTGTATCGTGCGTAGTTGCATAACACTTCAGAACCTATTCGGACATTTTGCGCATTCGCGAAGCCCAAAAATTGGTGTTGACAGCCAACAACCCTGGTCTAAAATACCTGCCTTTCTTGAAGAAAGTATCATTCTTTAGGCTGAACTCTTTCGCTGCTCCCAATGTCCACGAGGTAGATTGGCTTTTCAAGGAGGTCAGTCTGTGTCAAGTAGGACTTGGCGCTCTCCCAGAATAATTATAGGAATTTCATATAGGTACTTATTATGGTTAACAATCCATTATAAGGCGTATAAAGGCGGTTGGTCAAGCAACTCAAAATACTCATTTTAGGTGCAACAAGACCAACAGCACAAATGACTTCGGTTTTAATATTTCATTGAAATTCAAAACGAGGGGGGGTAAGATACTACGTGGAAAATTGACCATTCGTACTCATCAGCCAAGAGATAAGTGTGCAAGCAAGGCGCAGGTGCTTTTGTACTACCACAGATAATCCATCGACAAAGGCTGTGGAGGTGCTTCGAAGCCTAAGATTTTTTTCTTTCTCTTTTATCTCTGTGTTCAATCATTGTGGCATGCCCGTAGATCTTTCATTTCTGGCACTCCGCCCGACCCTCACCGCTGGAAGATGTACACTGAACACTCACTACTTCTTCAAGAAACGGCTTATTGTCTCCGAGCAATCCGCCCTTGAACAGGAACACTTTATGAAAATAGTAACTGTAATGGCTTCCAAAACAGATCCTACCGCTATTGTGGTGATCAGAATTATTTACATAGCCTTTAAATTTCATTTCTCTAGACGAGTGGACAAGAATTTGAGGCATTTCGGTATGTCTGGTTAGGTGGCGCGAATACACCTGCGACAAATGGCATTTCAAATCTGCCAGAACTAAGAGTATATCTTTATGTGAGGTTTCACACGGTAGTGTTTGCTCTTGCGCACCGCCTTCTAGCTTGAAGACCGCAAGTGCGACGCGCTGTTACCCTATCTGATGCCTGGTCAGGTTCATAAACTCAACTCCCCCCAATTAAAAGGAGCAATTTTCCGTCCCTGCCCTAATAGAGCTGGATTTGTTAAATCAGCGGCCTAATCGTGGGGATCATCCGTTATAACGCTCTTGGATGTGTCACTACATCGTATTCTTATGGCTTATGCTCGCCTTCTGTGACCGATTACACTGCTAGTCTTGACGGCCAGATTCTTGACCCTTTCGCGACCAACATTAATCATGAGCTTACCAAACATGTCATTGTACACCGAGGATAGATTACCAGATATCTCATATTACGTCCTCCCCAAGGATCGGAGCCGACGGCATATAAAATGACTCAGTACTTAATACGTCTGCTATTTCAATAGAGTCATTTACTGGAATAAGTTTTGAAAATGATGCTCAATATGCACGTTGTAATATAATAGATAATATTAATTGCATGACGCGTGGCTAGCGGCCCACGTGTGCCATGGATGTCTCATATACGTTATCACAACGACTGCCCTGTGCATTCAGGGAATTAACGTTTCCACTTTCTTCATTTGCCCTAGCGTGGGAGCATCGACCTTTAATCCTTAAAGCCGATAGCAAAGGGGTCTTTTAAGACGTATGAGTTAAACAACCACAAATTGAGCGACTGTGAGTACCGGGCAGCTGCTCAGCACCCTAGCTATCTATCTCCTCCTCCTCAGCATCGCAGACAGTTTTTACCTTTGGCGCGCTCGCAGAGCTTCCACTTTCGGTTCCTCATCCAACTCTCGCGGCATGTAAAGTTTAGCTTCGCATTGAGTACGGCGCCTATCGCTTAATTAGAGAGGCAGGGTGATCGCGGAATGTCTCGGTGCCAGCCGCAGCCGTTTAAAGGTCCGATGACGATTTCAGCCGTTGGGAGGGTGTCAGACACTGTTGCGGCGATCGAGGCTCTAAACCCCAGACATTTTCCGTCAGTTTTCGCCTTCCGTGACGGATACACAAGAGCATCAAACGCACCCATTAGGGTGGTAGGCGGTTTAAACACCTGCAATATGATTTAATATATTTTTTTAGACGTTAGCACCCATACTCGCGTGCAACCTCCTAGCTTGGAGATCGTAGGTACGACGAGTTGTGGCTTCGCGTAGATCAACCAGAATTCATGCCGCATTAGACTCCCTCATCTAGAAGAATTCTTCTGTCTCAGCCCTCAAAAGCATGAACGCTCAACATCAGCAGCCTCGCAGTGGGAGCAATCTGTTCCACCATCAGCTTCCGGTTGAGACGCTACTGGGTGTGTCTAACCAGCATATTTCCGAAGTTAGAAAGTGCGCCTCCAGGAGAGCGATTGCCTCTCCTGGCCCTTTAACCGCCATTGTCTTTTCCATCGCGATCTAGGATAGACAAAAGCTTGATACGCTGGTCTATTTTCACGGGGACAGGTTCTCAAGCATTCACTTTTCGTCATCGCAGAGGATACGGTATTATCATGGTTCGGTCGTGAGATTGACCACAAGTGCTACCAAGCAAGTGTAATGGATTGCCGTGCATTTTGCACGAAAACTTTGATTGCCAGAGTCGGCGTTAGCAACCGCATGGATACTGGGTTGTGCGCTTCTACAAGGTAGATAATCGAGAGCCCGGAACACTTTCTGATATTTCAAGAGTACATAGACTTGGAGTTAATGTTGCAGACTAATACCTCGTATATGCGTTCTTACGATTTCTTGTAATGAAATTGGTCTTCTTTTCTGACACACCTATCGCTATCGGGGTTTTGTACGATTATTACGGTATTGTAATACCAAATATTTAAGGATTTAGCTCGCAATAGAATATACCGTAATTTTAGGTTCCATGACTACTGGTACAATGTGACGGTTCACCGAGAAGGATATATCAATTTTCATTAGCTTTTATTCTAGATCAAATTCTCCATCTCAAGCACTGCGCCTTTCGGATGGCCTTTGAACCTATTTTCTGTGAAAATTTGAACCCTACTAGTCAGAGCTTTCTCAGTGCAAGGCGCGTGAAGTCAAATGATGAGTACAATAGCAGATTTATTGCGATTCTAATAAATACGATAAAATCTTCATTTATAGCTTGCCATTTAAATGACAGTTGTACCGATCCCATTCTTTAGTTACAAGTCTACTTATGGTAGCAGTGCGTTTCTCGGCGTCAAAGGTGGCCCTGGTCACCGGGCTGCACGACTATGGCGATGTGACGGAGGAGCTATTGAATTGTGTCTATCAAGATCGAGAAGAGTTGCTGAAGAGAGATGCTAACCGACTGCAATTACGAATCGTGTCTAAAGACCAAGAGCTGGAGCTGCTCGTGCGAAAGAGTGGAGCGGCTGTGGCTTCGAAGCTTCGGGCAGCGCTGTGTTGGTCTAAAGAGAAGTCGTCCCCCGCGCGTGTAGCAGTAGCTCAACAGCTACTGACGGACATTAACAAGAGGCTAGCCGAGGCACAAAAGGCAGACAAACTTGCGAAGGCTGAGGTGCGCGAAGTGCGCAAGCTGCTGGTCGAAAAGATCAACACAAGTGTTGGCACACGCAACGAATTGCTGGCTCTGAGGGTAAGCTGCTCACTTTTCAGAGGTGGAATTACAAACTTATGATTTGCTGCAGGCTTACGAGCGACAAATCGGGTCCAAGGTGCGGCTTACGAACGAGCATTTCTATTTCCTGACTTTTCCTTTTCCGCCAAAGACAAATAGAACGTATGATGCAAATGAAGAGACTTGTATGGACTATGTTTTGCTGGCTGGTCAAGGGCAACGCTCAATGACAGTTAAACGGCCGTCCAGACGAGCCCATAGTTCCACCAAAGAAACTTTGACCAATAAAGAAGTCAATGAATTTTCTAAGGACGGCCTATTTTCTATATGTGGCATGGTAGACGGAGTGGCTGATGTGCTGACCATATCCTCCGAAGATGAGTGGGGGTTAACTCCTGTAGTTGTGGAGATCAAAAATCGCATGCGAGGATTTCGTTCGCCACTGCCGCTTTACGATCAGGTACAATTAGCGGTATATATGAAAATGCTCGGTGTTGAGCACGGCGACTTGGTGCAATGCATTTACGGCGCTAATCACCAGCCCTCCATTCAAGTATCGCGCGTGTCGCTGAATGTAGCACCGCTTCATCTTTCAGCGTCCTCAACACAGAAAGAGTTAGACTTGTGGGCAGAAGTGATTGTACCACGACTATATGCCTTTACAGCTACTGTGCAAAAGCTACGTGATAACGAATTGCTGCGACTCAGCTTTTTAAACGGTACCGGAGAAGAGCGACGCGCTTTATTGCGGGTAGAATGTTATTACTTATAGATATTGTTCAAATGATAGATAACAATTAGCTACTACTGCATACAACAATGAGGCCGCATCCTCTTTCTGAACTTGAGTGCTTCAAAGGCTTGATCTTCGGCCTCAATAGCATCTGCCATTGCAGTTCGAGCCTCTAGATCCGGCTGAGATTCGTTGCTTGTTTGAGGAATGACTGCGCGCACTACCTTATCGCAAAACGAAAGCTCGAACTCCGACACATGAATGTTGGCAGCAGCTGCAGAAATGCGGTACACAGTTTTCAAAACATTGTCACCACTTTTAGCCGACACTAAAAATCCATCCAGCAGTTCATGCTGTCGGATAAAAGCCTCGTGCTTCTCGCTCGATATGACACGGTGAGCAACGAGGTCTGTCTTGTTGCCTACAAGGTATAACTTTGCTATCCTGTCACCATTTTTGCGTGCTACTCTCAACCAGTCTTCAACGTCACTAAAAGACTGTGCATCCGTGACATCATAGCACAGCAAGACCACATGCGCATCAAAGAGATACTTATTCAGCATCTTACTGTTAGTTGTCTGACCGCCAATATCCCACACCTGGAGCAGAATTCGCTGATCACGCGGAAGTTGCAGCACTTTTTCGAAAAAGTCGAGTCCGACAGTCTGTTTGTACAAGCGAGCAAATCCGTCGTTCACGAATCGTGCGATGAGACTTGACTTGCCTGTGGATCCATTACCTAAAAGAACAAGTTTTATTGTCGGGTCCCTTCGCGTCTGCATCTCAAATGTATATCAGTTGGACAAAAACTAGAGTTGCAACAAAGAGATCATGAAACGGTTGTGCAGAGAGAAAACAACCTCGACAGAGGCACTGCATTTGCTATCTAAGAATAGTTTCACCACTTCCAAAGCTGCTGGTTGCATGTCAGGACTTGCTTCAAGCTCTGCTTCTTTTGATGGCAGTCGGAAGACGTGCCTTAGATCGCAGTCAACCAAATCATGCCAGTAATCTAGCAAGCATCAAGGCATGATTCACTGACAGCTCGATCAGTCCACTCAGTGCATTCCGTGAATGCAACAGCTAAGTGCTGATTGCCAAACATGTCCGCGAGCCACCTAACGTGCGTGTTCATCGGCTGCGTCACCGCTTCTTTAAAGTGTTCATTTTCAATCCGCTGCTTTGACTCCTCTGCGTCTGCTCACATTAAATAATGTGCTGACACTTGAGTCACACATCATCAGCTCTTGGCAGGAGTGCCTTGCGCAGTTGCATCCTTTGGGGCAAAGACTTTTTTTTTCTGCAAGTCGTCGATTTTTAATGAGATCAACATCAAATCATGTTGACGGCCACGGATTAGGATTTACGCACCCGTTCGAGTTTGTCGGTCGACTCCTTTTTACCACCTTTTTCGCCTTTACGACGTGATGGATGTCTAACATCGGTCCTACTAGGGCCCTCAGCCTTTTCGCCCCCATCTTTACCCTTTTTCGAGTTAATCCGTCCACGACCACCGGACTTCTTGCCGACTTTAGGGCCAAGCGTTTCTGATGTGGAATCCAACGAAATATTTTGAAGTGGCGTTACTCCCATCGCTTTGCCGGCAGGGGTAGCGGCGGCCGACTTTTTCTGCGTCATGATATGCACACTCCCCGGTTGGGCAGCCTCCTCAGTATAGGCTTCCTGCACATCCTCTCTTAACAAATTTTTTCCCCGTTGCTTGCGCGAAATGGAATCTTAAAAACAGATTCAAATGTTAAATTTCTCACTTGTGAAATAGAGCTCGCCACATTCAAATATAACACCTAAGATTGTTCCCGTCTCGCCAATTCTTTTTTTCTGACGATCCTTCGCAGACTTTGCCTTATCTTTTGGTCCTTTCTGCTTTGATCCCTGTCCGAATACACAAGTCACCATCCGCTCGCAGTACACCATCACGAATAAACTTACGTCAATCTTTTCCTTTTGCCGACGCCCACTTTTATCGAGTGATTTAGCACTTGATTTTCCCTGTAAATTCAAAGCGACTCAGCAAAATTGTACACAAATCACACCAACATTTCTAACGTACTTTTCCTTTGTCACGTATGTGGGCCTTCCGCTCGTTCATGTACTTGACTAAAGCCGCGACCGGCTTTTCCACTGTCTCGCCATCTACCATATCCATTAGCGTTTCAACACTTGGAAGTTTCTATTCCAATTCAACAAGTCAGCATCCTGCCATATGAAAGACGAACAGCGTCTAGACTTACGTCTTTTGGCTTGGCCAGATCCTCCAAAAACGCGATATATTCCGGATCACGGTCTAACATTCCATCTTTTGCATCCTTGCGCTGTTTTTCGCGTGGAATTTTTTGAAAAGGAGCAAACTCAACGTCCAGCGGTTGAAAACCCCCTTGATCCTTTAAATCTGGATAGAAAAATTGTCCGTGAAGCGAAGCAATAAGCTTGCGCGCGCTTTCCGGTTCGTGTTTCATATCTAAGTAAAGACGTGCAGGCGTTGATGGACGATTTTTGCTCCGCTTGAGGCCAGGAACAAAGCGCCAAATCAGCTCATCGCTTACACCATGCGCCTGCAGCAGCTCCCGCGCCTCCGATTCCGAAGCTGTTGGGGGAATGTTGCGAACCACCACTTTTTTTAAGACCGTTGTCACCGCACGCGTAGGCCTTGCAGATGTAGCGGATGAGGACGAGGCAGTAGACGAGGCTCCGCTCCCACGTCCCCCGCCACGCTTGTTGCTACTGTTTCCTCGCTCGCGTTTTTTAAGCTTTAAGGTTGAGCTTTCACTGATATGATTGTTAATAACACCGCTCTGGTCGCGTTCGCCTCCTCGTCCCCCGCGCCCGCGGCCTTTACCCAAGCCGCGGCGAGGCGGCGGAGTCATGGTGGCTGGAGTTTAAGTGCAGAATACGGGTTATAGTAGACAGATATACACTTTGAAAGGTTAATTGAGATAAAATTTGTGAGTGGTCGATAGTCCTACTAAAAAGTCGGACTTTAAGTTATATTTTGCCGCACCAAAATCGTTCAGATGTGAGTTTCGACACCACGTGCATTGCAATTGAAGCGTCGCATGAGTATATCATCTTGAGGGACTTTTATTGCGTCATTTGCACGTATCCTTCGCTGCATCGTTGTAAGACCGACGACATATGTTCTACATCGGCTCAGGTTCGAATGGGCGATCTCGTGATACGATCTCGGATGCCTAAGTTGATCCGGATGACAATAATGTCTGCTTTATAACTTGAGGAACTATGAGCGCCATTCGTTCGCGATGATTTTGCCTGTTTAATACAGCAAAAAGGAACGTCCAGGTTCTGATGCCATTATCGCATTCTAATAGCACTGCGTGTGTGAGCGGATCCGAACTAAGAAATGGAGTAATTTTGCAATGGAGATTGGCAACAGGCTGCACTCTGAGTCTGTGTCAGCGTACATTCCTTCCACTTGATGCGACATTGCATAACGTGCTATGTTCGCAAGACACTTGCTGAACAGCTTTTGCCACGTAAAGATACTGTGGGTATATATTGTCAAGGGGATAGAAATTGTCTCTGTTGATCAAGAAAATGTGGCCAATGTTGGGCGAATGAGCCTCCAGGTTTTCATCCAAGGGTGTGGAAACGCGAATGAAATCGATCGATGGCCTTTCAGGACTGGTGGAAAATGCGAAGAATGGCAATTTAGTCGAATTTGAGCCTGCTTCCGATTCCTCCACGATTTAAAAGGTAAATGCAACCCATCAAGATAAGCAGCTGTTTTTAATTTGAAGGACACGAAAGGAAGCCTGCGATCGGCAATGAATCTAGCGCGAGCGAAAGTTGAAGGGTCCGTTTGGATGTTCATGTGAGCGCATTTGTGTAAAGCTGGTTACCTCGAAATGGAACATATTGCCAATGGAAGATGTAAAATTGAGATTTCTATCATTTTGGAAGCGACATCCTCTTAGCTAATCGATTTGCACATTAATCAGGACTTTGTGGGTGTGCCCAGGTTGAACTCTTCAAGCCTTCGCATCATGGGTACCGCCCCGCCTTCGCTCTCGAAGCTTGTGTTTGTAATCTCTATGCGCTCGCGCATCTTTTCCAATGTCTCCTTCAGCATATCCCCAAACTCTTGCGCCATCTCCTCCATTTTGACTTTGAGTTCCTGAATCTCAATATTCTTAGCAGCGATTAAACGGTTCGACTCGTGCTTCATTTCTTGAAAGTTGACGCGAGCTAACTCTGCACCATTTGTTAGATATTAATGTAAAGCGCTTGTCACCTGTCACATGTCATATGGCTTACCCAATTGGTCTCGCAGCTCCGTGTTAGCATTTTCCAGAGTATTAACCCGGTTCAGCAGTTCCTCCTGCATACTTTTATACTGGCGTGTCATGTCCTGGGTAATACCAAACGTGTCCTTACGTTCGTTCTCGAAACTTTTTTGCAATTCTGTCACTTGGTCTTGCAACTCTCGCTTTGACTCAAGCGTCTTTACAGTAATCTCTTGCCTTTCCGCGAGCTGCATCTGCAGTGATCGATTTGCTGATTGAAATAATCGCGCCTTCTCCTCGGCAGAAAGCACTCCTCCATTCTCTGCACCGACGTCTGAAAAATTGTCTGAGCAATATATCCTGTTTGCGAAGCGCGAGAAAGATTACCTTTTTTTTCCTTTGCCTTCTTTCCTTTGATCTGTCGCTTGGGCCCCATTGCAATGACCAAGACGAAACCACTTTGGAAACATTTGAAGGCTAAAATACTAAATACGAAACCAATTGGTTTATTGTCGACACACTAGTAGTAACTCATATATAGTTTACAATCCAGAAAGTTGTACGAAGGCTGCTTCTCAGGATGAATCTTGCCTGGACTTGACTTGTCGCTTTGGTTTGCCTAATTCACACTGATTCACTTGCTTTGCAAATCGAAGAGAACACAAACTTTCGCTTGCCGATTCAAGTGTTGGCGACAGGTTGACCATCATTAATGTTTTGCCATCGCCTGATAAGCTGCTTTGGAGTAAGTAGGTCAACTTTGAGTTTCGAAAAGGGATCTATTCAGGCAGGTCAAAGAAACGGGTTTAGTATGCCTCTTGATTAAGTTTCATCATGCAATAGTTGCGGGTACTAACATGAGAAGCCTTGTTTCCAATGGCGGTGAAGACATCAGCGAGACAGCTTAAACTCTTGTTGATAGCTTGTGTCTCTCTTAAGCGGTCGCCGGAGACATTGGACCGGGAAGCACGCTCACTACCCGCCAGATCGACGAGGTTCAACTGACCATTTAATACAATTCCATCCTTGTCCTTCATCCCTTTCAAATGCAGCGAGAAAACGCTATGAGAACGAGAGGATTTTGCATTCATGTCTGTGCACGCCACGCTTCGCGCTCTACTCGCTCGCTCCATGAGATTCTCAACTTGTTCCATGGAATTGATGTGGACCATTGACAATCCTGGAACACACACGCCTCCACTCGTATCTTTCTTTATGGTTAGTTTTTCATCGCCAGTATGTTTGGTGGCAAGTAGATCTCTTAATGTTTCGTTGTAGATTTCTAAAAATGAAACTTTCGTCACATAGCTCCATCCCTGATTTTTTAAAGCTTCACATTCTTGTAAAATCATCTCAATAGCCCTGGGAATTATTCCACGCATCTGGCCATTGCCACTTCCTTGCATCTAAATATATCAATTTTGCACGTAAGCTCACTAATGTTAAGTTGCTGAATAATGAGCATATTCAGCAATTTAACAGCTTACCGTGTGTGTTTTACCTGATCCAGTCTGGCCGTAGGAAAATAGGCAAACGTGATACCCATCCAGAGAAGACTGGACGAATTCAGATACCTGCTCAAAAACGACATCTTGGCCAGCGGAAGGTGCAAATACTTTGTCAAACTTGAAGGCAAAGGAATCCGGCTCTGACGAATTTTTCCCAGGACGTACTAACTTCAAGCTTTCACCATCAAAATCGCATGAAATAACGGGTGATGTTTTGTTAGGATCGCAATGATCTGACGGTAAGAACGGTCGTGTCCTAGCAAACACACGAACGTTTCCACGCAGTTCCTGTAACGCAGAAAAAATATAATCACAGCAATATGATGTCAAGATGACAGAACGAACCTGAATGGTATTGTGCATCAGCCTCCTCTGTTTCTCTCCCTGCTTGACTTTTTCTTGAAGCTCCAATATCATTTCGTCTTTCTGAGCAATCGACTGAGTACCCTGATTAGTCAGCTCGATGAGACGTCGTCGAAGAATGTCAGCCTCACGTTTCACTTTGCACAATTCTTCAATGTCGCCATCACGAACCGATGAAGCTCGTCTTCGTAAAGTGTTCACTTCACTTTCAAGACTGACTTTCTCCTCCTGCAAATTGTCGATCTGGCCCATATACTTCTGCCGTTCGTGCTGAAACCTTTTTTCTAAGCTATTGATCTGGTCATTGTATTGCTCTTTTGAGACAACATTGACAGACCTTAGTCGTTCCATCTCTGCTTTCACTGCTTCCATCTGAGCATTTACAGCTATATGCTCGGTTCGTAGTTCGCGTACTTGATCCTCGAGCATTTGACGAACGCCTCCCTCTACTCCAACTTTTTGCAACTTCTCTTGCAACTCAATTTCGAGATTTTTTATTCGCGAGCGAAGTCCCTCCTCGCTTTTCTCAGCCTCTATTCGAGCATTTAATTCTACCTGTTGATTTGCAAACAATACATAAATACCAATGAACTCGATCTCTATTTCACGCATACAGTAACATACCTCAGCCTGTCTTTGGAGGTCACGCATTGTCGTTGCGCTTGACGACTCCCGCAGCTCAAGCGTTCGAATTGTATTTTGAAGTCGCTCTACTTTATCAGCCAATTCCTTTTTGTCAGCTTCAACCCTGGTGCTAACGGATGCGTTAAATTTCTGGATTTCGGTCAAACTTTTAACTAAATTGGACACTTCAACTTCTTTGTGCTGAAGCTTTTCTTTCAATTCTGCCGCATCACTCACCGCACTGCTCATACGAGACTCAAGAGCCTGGTTTTTAGCCTCGAGAGTGCATTTTTCCATCTCGGATCTTGTACGCCGTTCACGCTCGTCGTTAAGACTGTTTGCCGCATCAATTGCCCTATCCTTGTATTTGTCCAACACTTTGATAACTGAAGCAAGCTCATCACGGTTCTTGCTGACTTCTTCCTGCAAATTATCCAGCTCTATTTGCTTGTCCTTGATTGCTTCAAGACCTTTTTGCCTAAAAATACTTTCCAGCTCTAGTCTTTCATTTTCAAATCGCTGCTTCTCGTTCTGTAAGAGTGTTTGATGGGCCTTCAAGTCAATTTTTAGCTGCTCGTTCTCTTTTTGAGTCTCTTTGAGCTTAATCTCAAGTTTTGCAGAGTTGTCTCGAAAAAATGTGTTAGTGCGGCGGATTTCCTGCTCTGACGCCTGAATTTGCATGATATTTTTTTGCATCATCTCACATTTTTCTCGTAGTATCTTCGCCTCACCCTCCGTTTGCCTTTGGTTCCTTGCTGCCAGCTGCAGTGATACCAACCTTTGCTCCAGAATTGCCTTCTGCCCAGCCAATTTGTCGTCCATCGCTGCGGATTGGGTGCTGAAGCTCTGAATCTTGTAGTCATTGCAGCAGCAAAATCAGTTTTAGGTGAGAACCACTGCTACTCGCCCATTTTCTTTCTCTATTGGATTACCTTGGTGACGACATCGCGCACACTAGTCTTGAGCTGTTTAATGTAATTGACCTGTTCTTCCTTTCGTGCTTTGACCGCGAATTTGTTTGCTTTTGGTCGAAAGGCCAGCAGCTGCTCGAGCGTCGATACTATTTCCTGATCGAAGCTCTCCTTGAAAGTTTTAAGTATGTGCACTTCAAAATCTATAGGTGCTATGCTCTGTGTCGTATCCACATCCGCGCTGTTCTGAACTATCTTATTACCACGTACTGTGTTCTGATCATTACCAAGCAATGGCTCGGTCTTGATGGTCGCTATGGCGGTAGCAGGCATCGATAGCTGCGAGATCGACGGTCCCTTGAAGCCAAAGCGGCGAGCATTAGACGGTGGTGCGATTAATGTTGCAGTCCTTGGTCCCTTGGCAGGTGGTGGGCACTCCGAAGGTGCATATGAAAGGCCCAAGACATTACTAGTGCTTGTAGGCAGCTCGCTTCCCTTCCTGCGCTTTGTGCCCATATCGCTAATCAGTTTTCAAAATTTGAATAAAGACTCGAACATTCATTTTTTCATTATCTAATAAGCAATTCCTAAATTTTAGAACAGATCCCAGCGCCAGACCGTCGCGTCGTCTGAGCAAGTGATAATCGTCCGTCCAGTCTTGCTAAAACACACTTGACGCACCGTGCTTTTGCAGCTATTATGAGTGAGCTTGCATACCGCCCGCTCCTGCTCAGCGTCCAGGTCAAAAACGCTCACAACTCCTTTCTTGTTGCCCACAGCCATCACCTCAAGCAGCGAGTCAAGTCCAAATTTCATAAACCACAAGTCTGCGTCCTTGTAGTGATACTCGCGCAGTACAGTAACAGCGTCCTTACCTCGCGACGGGTTTGGCTTCCAAAAAATTACTTTATTGCCGGTGGATTTGGACAAAATCAAGTCGCCCACCATACGCACGCAGTCGACGTAGTCCGCATGCACCTTACTGGTACAAAAAGCTGGAAATTGAATAAATTTGGTGTCAAATGGACGATCCTTTGGTCGAGGCTCCGTGTATGACTTCTTGATTGCTGTCTGGACGACTTCATCCTCCAAATCCCAAATTTTGACAGTATTGTCCATGCCAGACGATACAAAGCATGAGCCTTTCAGGTGAATATCTAGACTTAATACGTCGTCACGATGACCCACATGACCAGCAAAAATTGCGACACAAACACCCGTAAGTGAGTTCCACAAACGAATTGATTCGTCCTTGCTAGCCGAAAATAGCAAGCTTGGGTCTACTGGATGAAACTTGAGCTCGTTCACTGAATTGCCGTGTCCAGACAACACTATCAGCACCGACTGCGTAATGCAATTAATCACTTTGATATGTCCGCGGTTTCCCGCAGCTGCCAGCAGCGGCGATCCTGTGAGCACGTCCACTGTCCACGCTGCCGTAAAGTACTGCTCCTCCTGATCACCGTCGCAATACACCTGAATCACATCTAGTCCACCATTATCCAGACATTCGTATACTGTTAACTGTGCAGAATCGCAGAATCAAAACATGAAACCGTGTCAAACAGAAAGGCGACTGTTGTTTCAGCATCACATCGTACTCGGTTGCCGCCAGCCACCGCAAACATGCGCTCATAGATAGGTAGAACATCGCAAAATGTTACACAGTATAGAGCATTCCCATGGTCTTCTCGGGCATAGGCTACATCGTTACACAATGACAGGACGTCATTTTACCGGTGAAATAAAAGATCAAACCAACGTACATGAGAATTTGTAGCCTTTCTTGCGGAGAAGCGGAAGAAGTGATATCGGTGTGATGTCATCTTCAACTCCATCATTTGACATTGCCGGCTTTGTCGGCGTAGGGGGGGTCACTACAGTGTGCTGTATTTGCTCTGTCATTTGTATTGATGACAGTAATCTACTACAGTAAAACCTGTCTAAATTAAACATGTTGGGACTGGGGGTAGTGATTAATTTAGAGAGGGTTTTAAATAAGGGAGGGTAGCATAATCTTACCCAGGCTGGGTATATTCAAACAACACCATTCCCAAAGAGCCCCTACACG